TTTGCACATCATTTGAAAACTGTCAAGTGTGAACAATGTCCTGACTTGATTGCCCCAACATCGTTTGGAGTTTGCCATCATACTGAGTCTACAGTTTTGACATCATCACACCAATCATCAGTCCTCTTCTGCTTATCTGGTTCAGGGTTGCAGGGGTGCTGGAGCCTATGTTAGCTGCCACTGGGCAGCGCGTACCTTAGACAGGTCGGGCTGGCTAATTCACTAGAAGTCAGCCAAAATGCACGTCTTTGGACTGCAGGACGAAACCAGCATTTCCGGAGAGAAACTGCACAGGAAGAACATGCTAACTCCACACAGGCAGATGGATTTAAACCCAGGGACTTCTTGCTGTGAGGTAACACTGGTGACCACCATACCACTGTGCTGCTGTGCCACCCACATCATCACACTTTGCATAATTATCCTCAGACTTTTTTGATTTTTACTTGTTTTGTGTCTGAATCTATATCATGTCTTGTTTTGCCTTATTTTAACCACCAATCCTAGCTCCTGTCTTTTTCTTCCTGTCTGTCTTGAACCCAGCCTTGAGCCTATCCCCAAGCAATCATTTCTGTAATACCTTACCATGAAGAAAAAGGCTGTTATGCGACTATAGAAAATTAAATCTGAAGTGGAACTTCACTTTAGCACGAGACTGAATTATCTTCATTTGAGCACAGTCAGCTTCAGCCGGCAACACACTGTCAGCTATTACAACCTACTGCAGCTACACCTCACAGTAAAAGTCCCTGAAGTTATTCTTCAGGGAGTGATAAATAAGTTGTGAGATCAGCAGCCTCCAGTTAGATCAAAAAGTATCAGCGTGAAAGCCCCATGTGCATCCCTGCTGGAAGGAAGAAAAAAACTTTTGGGAAACTCATTTCTGCTGCATCTTGATTGTTTACGGATTTCATTTCTAAAGTGGCTTATGTAACAAACAGAATTTCTTTGTGCAGCTTTGGTCGAAACACACACAAATCAGCTGGTTTTGCTCATCAGTGAATTTCTCGTGAATTATAAAACACATGCAGCCAAATTTGTTGTTTTGTTCACAAATCAAAAACAATCACTCAGAGACTAAAACGGGGAAGGTCTGCACACAGGTGAACTACAATTTAATCATTGGAGAATTCAGTCATTAAATTGGTTATTGTGTAGCCCTTTTCCATTTTGTCACATGCAGTGACTGAATATTTTGTCTTTGGTGTGAGCACACTCGGTCTTTTTTCCTGTCATTACTCTGGTGCTGCCAAATTTAGAAGTCTCATCAGAGTCAAAAGGAAGACCTAATTCTAAAGCACGCACCTGCCTTCTGCTCTCTAACAATGACAGCATCTGGTGTGTCAGCCATGAAGCAGGAAGTACATCACAGTTAATAGCTTTCTAATGAAAGGAAAAACCTGAGATTGATTATATATAGACGGTATAATATAATTATAAAGACATTCTCATATACTCCACAGATAAAGACCTTGGAGCCAGGTATAAGGCATCGTTGATTTACTGTGAGTTCACAGCTAATCTTCTGCTCAGCATCAGTGGCTGCACTTCATTCATAAAAAGTGTGCAAATGTTGCAGTGTCCTTAATTAAAAAGCCTTAGGCAGAATCAAAGCAGGGTCATTTTTCTCATGTTCAAGTATTGAAATATTTTCAGACATCATCATGTGTATGTACAACTTTGCTGCTATCGGTTGCAATGGCGATAGTGTGAGTGAAAAGCAAACTATAAATCTTAGTCATTGTTATGTCATTCATGACAGTTCCTCCATCCCATGCCTTTATCTATCTATCTATCTATCTATCAACAAAATTCAGTTATTCATTTTTTTCAAGTAAGGTGCATATTTTATCTCTTTATAATTCAAACAACTTGGTGATCAACACAGTTAAATAACTCGGTGAGGTTTTTTTTATATTTAAAACAATGATAAAAACAAATAAAAGTAAACATTGAAGTTAGTTAAAAACAGTAAATGTAAGACTGACATTGTGTAAGAGAAGAGATAAGTGCAGATTGTATGAACAAATAAGATATAAACTATAAATCAAAGAAAAACATTAGATCTTAACCTGACAGGAGTGCTCACCTGTCATAAAATGAAAGTGTTCAGACCTGTCTAGTATAATTAGCATCTCCACAACAGGAAGTACATTATATTGAAAAACTGGATTGGATATGAGCAGAACCAGTCTTTGTAATGACATTATTGGACCGGTTTGTACCGTTCGTTTTGGCCCCCGGGCCACATGTTTGACACCCTGGCTTTAAAGCGAAATAACTGTTCCATGAGAAAATAATTCATCTGCAGTTGTTATTCCGCTTTTATATTGAACCACCTGTTTGTACACAATGAATAGCGACCAAAGGTTGAAAACTACAAATCCCAAAAAGCTTTGCGCCACTCATTAGCGTGTGTTCTGCATGCAGTGGGGAGAAATGTAGAGTGTTAGGAGGCGGAGAGTCAGTCTGCTCACTGTGGAGCTGTGTAGGGGCAGCAGGAGGAGCCGACACCGACAGAAAGGAGCGATTCAAAGAAAGACGTGAACGTTGCTCAAATGCACAAAATTGGGCTTTGAATTACGCCGGGAGGAACGGTCGTGCGGTTTATCCGGAGCCTTTGGTTTGGACAGAAAGGGTGTAGACTACGGACACGGCAATCCCCTTTACCCCCCCTAAAACAGCGAGAGGAATCGGAAAGAGGTGAGAGGAAAACCGTTTGGGACTGTGAGACATTTAAAACTAGCGAAGACAGAGAAACGCTCCACAATTGGCTCAATTGAAGTTGAAGGAACAGTTCTGGTGGGCTGCAGGAACATGACCGGCTTCAGTTAGCCTTTATATGATTTTTTTTCCCTTCTTAATAAATGCAGTTGTTCGCCGGTCTAGTCATTTTTTAAAAAGCCCCCATAGGTGTAAATTGTATCCCATTAGAAATGGGTGAGGTTTGTCTGCCATACAAAAGACTTGCGCTTCCTTTCCAGTCAGCTGAAGTGAATTTATGTCGTTTTCTCTGATGGATGTATTTTTTTGTTTGGTTTTTTTGGTCGCCTTCCGTCTTAAGACAGCTAAGGTTTGATGTATTGAACACTTATTTGGAAGGCTTTGTGTTGACGGCAGGGAGCGCCTTAGAAAAACAGAAATGTGGAAATGCATAGCAGCCCGTGTAAACCCTTGTTATTTGGCAGTGTCACAAAGTAACCAGCAAGACTACGTGTGTGCGCGCGCACGTGTGCGTGTAAGCCTCTGGGTGTGTGTAAGCGTGTGATTTCTTGGCTGGGGAGACTGGGGAATATTTGCATTTGCTCCAGTATAGAAACAACAGCGATGATGAACAACTAAATAGGACGATGGTTAAAGTGCAGCTGGCCACCAAAGCGCCAGAATCTTCTCGGTGAGAGCTTCAATGGGCCTTTTTGCCCTCTAAAGTTTAATCATTGCTGCAAAACCTTAGAAAAGAGCTGTTATGTTACATTTACGCCCATGTTAACGACCTTTGTACGTGCAGGAAAGGGGGTCCTGTTACTTGGACTTTATTCCCCCTCACAGTTCAGGACGGATGTGGACTGTTTGGGATTTAAAGCCACATAGGAAGGAAGAGGGGATCAGTGGATAGACTAGAGAAACTGGACGAACCCCTGCCAAGAATTTAGTTGCAGGGCAGGCAGGCAGTGATGTGGGATGTGGAGGATGAAAGCACCGAAAAACCAGCTTGCCCACCTCTTGTAGCTCACTAAATAGAGTTCACTCTTCTTTGTAGGCTGGAAAATATCTGTAAAAGTACTGTGCATGATGATAAATGGTGTCAAACTGCTTCAGCTTATATGGAGACTCTTTAGGGCAGTAGATGTGTAAATAAATTACGCACTTGTGCTTTCCACTGTCTGCTTCTAGGAAAGTAAAATATGTCTCATCATCTGCTTACTTGACTAATTAGGACATATTGATGATTTTTTTTAAATTTGTGTCTTCTCATTTTGTTTTTGTTTTCCAGGGAAGGAGGCAGGCTTAGTGTGTTATTGGAGAAAGCCATTCAGCGCTGGCAGTCTATTCCATGTTAATGTAATGGAAACACCCTTTTGGTCGGTGGCATCTGAAATGCATCAGTGGAAATATATCAGTAACTTCCATGGCTAATTCTATCAAGCAGCGGTGGCTTGAGTTTGCCAGTGGATGCACTCAAGAGCCGAGTGCCCTGCCATGCCCAGCGCCATGCTAAGGCAACACATTCATAATAGCAAGGAGCACTTAGTTCAACCAGTGGGGAAGCTATGGAAAAAGTTGGTGGAAAATCTATGGTTTAAACCTCAATTTTAAACTTCCTTTTTTCATTTTGACCTACATTTTCTCTAACGCTCCATAGCTCAGTTGCTTTCTCTGCCATCCACAGCGACTCTGCTTTTTTTCTCTACTTTTCACCCAGCTTGCCTTCACTCTCGCTGCTTCTTAAAACCAAGGACAGCTAAAGTGCATCCTTCTTTTGCACCTGACAAAATGGATGTTCGAATTTAAAGCCAGCCTTTGTTGGAGATGACGATGTGAAGGGGCGTAATGAAGGGAACCTGAAGAGGAGGAATAGGTGGAACAGCAGCACTAGATCAAAATGGCCCAAACCAGTTTGCTGAAAGGGAAGCGCTTTTACTGCCGGGAGTGGGTGTTCCATAAGATCCAGCATTGCCTCCAGGAGAAAACCAACAACCTCAGTGGAGTAATCAGCACTCCCAGTAAACAGCCCCCGTTGGCACCTGGTGGTAGTGCGTCCAACCCCGGCACCCTCACAGCAGGATCTGCAAAGTCGGGTAGCTCCTGGGGTGTGTTGCTGGTGGGAGGGCCAGGGAGTGGGAAAACTGCACTGTGTACAGAGCTGTTATGGCCCACATCAGCCCAGGGAACCCACCGCGGTCTACACCAGCAAAGCCTGGCTTTCCACTTCTGCCGGGCAGATGACTCGGACACGCTGTGCGTCGGCGGTTTCATCCGAGGTCTGGTGGCTCAGATTTGCCGCAGCGGGCTACTGCCAGGATATGAGGAAAAGGTGCGCGATCCGGCTGTGCAGAACACTTTGCAGCCTGGAGAGTGCGAGAGGAACCCCACAGAGGCTTTCAAGAGGTAAAGACACACCCACTTACACAGTTAAAGTATGACTGCAAGCAGATGATTTCACAGATTAGCACCTCTTTACAGTGAGACGGATAACTAATCCATGTCGACAGGACTTCATTCTTTGCTTAATCAATTAGTCAACATCTAAAAGCAAATTGTTGCCATTTGCAGCTTGCCTAATGTGACTATTATGTGTTTTTGGCAGCTTTTATCTCATTGTTAAACACTGGATGATTAGACATACACACCACCATCCTGTTTTTCAGTCTCTATCAGTTTTTTCCTGTTAATTTATTAAAAAAATAAACTGATGCAGTTATATATCTTACTGAAACAGCTACCTATTGCAGCACTGCACAAAATTACCTGAATTATGATTCCTTTATGGAAAATATAAATCTGCCTATTAAGTGTTTCTTCATATCTTCTTGCAACTTTACTTCTTTTTTTTTTTAAACTTAGTAAAAAACGGTGTTTCAGGTAGTAACGGAAATCTAGGAATTTGGTTTGACTAGAAATGTAAAGTGCAGTCAGCCCATCCCCCCCCGAACCTACCCTCTCCACCTCCTGACCCTGATGCACCTCCCCCCGTTTATTTTTTTTCCCTGCACACACTCATGACATAGCTCCGCCCCAGCAGCCTCTCCAGTTATTTCTTGTCATGGTTTTGCCTGTGCCCCCCCCCGTGCGACATGCTGGGTGGGACTGTCCCTGCTTGTCTTTGGATTCAGGAAAGGTCAGATATTTTTAAGTTGTAGCTTAGCTCACGAGGTGAGAGACTCATGAGAAAGAAGCTTTGAAGTATCACTGACTCACCGACCTGGGTGCGCTGAACTGTGATTGTTAGGTTCACCTGGGTCAGTCCAACACTGTGCAAGATGATGAAGTGCACATGTAAGGCTGAAGTACAGTAGGCTTGTGGGATTCGAGCACGCTGCCCGGACATGTAACACGATCAAGATGGACTGTTATTGCAGACGGGGGCTTTAAACGGAGCGGCGTGTGTGCGTTACTTGCACGACTTGTCTACACAGTATAGGTCAGGCCGTCTATGCAACACAGGCTGGAATGCAGCACTGTACACACACGCTCACGTTTCTCATCTGGCCATCTGGTGATGCTTATTGTACCATCTCAGCATCACACACAGGAAGAAAAGTAGGTCAAATGTTCAGTAAGGTAAATCATTTTTCAATTACTCACCAGAGTCAAGATCCTAACCCACTTTTTTTTTTTTTTTTTAAGCCCACTCATTCCTAAGGGAATGCTTGTCTTGTCATCGTCTCGTAATCACAAGGCTTCCACCAATGATTCAGACTTCAGTTTGCCCCTCTGAGGTAAAGGACAGGTTATCATAGGAACATTGAAAAAGAGACTGAACCCAACAGGGACAGATTTTTCACTTCAGCTCTGCTCTGTGTCACTCTGAATGTTGAGGGCCTTTTGCGGACACTTGCACTTCACTGAACCCAGCCTCGTGAAGCAAATATTCTGTAATACTCGAGACCTCGGGCTTTAAATCTGCAGACAACAAAGACACAAGGCTTATTATCTCTGCCTGTTGTGTTCGTCAGCCACATAAACAGTTGAGTAAATGCCTTATCGCCATCTCAGGTGTAAAAGCATCCCAGGCGCTGTTGTACACAAAAATCTGAACAGATCCGCTGCTGATCGAGATGCTATCTGGATTCAGGAAGTCAAGATTGCATCTGGCATTGTCATTTAGAAAAGTTCAATGAGTAGTAATTAAATCAGGACTAACGTTTACACAGGGATTCACGTCTTGTTTTGATTCAACTACCTTTGGGTTCACATTTATTGCAATAAAAGTCACACAAGTTTCATTTAGTTAAGTCTTGTTTAACACAGTTTTTTTTGAGGAGCTGTTGACCCCCTCCTCCTCCTCCCCTGCCTTCCAGCTGTGATTTTAAACATTACCTAGTGAGTGGGTGCAAGAGGCCCTGCAAAATTCTTTGGCCTAGTCAAAGACAAACAAGTCAGTTTGTTGGTAGTAATCACCAGCACTGTGTTAATACAATGGGTTTACATGGGTTTACGTCCACTTACTTCCACTCCGATACCACAACTAACCAAAATTTGGACATTTTAATAAATCCCTGCACATTTTTATGAACCTGAAGTTTCTCCCCATGTTGTAATCCTTAATTTCTGTGTTTTATTGCTGTCAGGTTACAAACAGATGTAGCATGAGCAGTGACTTTAATAATAAGAAGCAAATGTACTATTTAAATGAAGGATATCTTCAAAGTAGAGTTGATTTTTAAGTATCACTAGAACAATCTTGCATTTTAAGATGTGTCCTGTGGACATGATGATTAAATTAACAATAAATGTCAATCGAGTGAATAAACAGAATTAAAGCAAGTTCTTAAAATTTGCCTGATTATCTACGGATTCATTGATTGGATACTTATCTGTGGTCCAGTATCTCTGCTAAAGGACAGATCAGTTCAGTTTTGATGTTAGTTCATGTTTACTAGATCAGATGTCAGCAGTGCATCCGTAAACCTGCGTGTGGAGCACGGAGAGTGCTAATGACGAAAGGTCAGGACTTTGGAGGCATTTCACGCTGGCACACAACAAGTTTTGTTCATTTCTTTGCAGTTGTTTGTAAGTTTACCGATTCAACAGCAAACGGTGATTGGACGATGACGGAAAAGAGCAGTCGATGGAGGTTTTCCTTGTTTCCCTCGCTCTTAAGTTCATTTTGCTCAATCGGATGAATTTCCATCTTAACCTGTCTGTCAACTGCTCTGTAAAGTTTGCAAAGGAGCAAGTGGTGAAACAGAGAGCAGTGGAGGCAATACGGGAAAGAGGCACAGAAAAGCAATAATTCAGAAATTTACATGGGAATTTATGATATCAAGTTTCTCAGATCTTCTTTTTTTATTTTTTAATTTTTGTATGTTGGATAGACAAACATCTGAAATGCTTTTTCTGAGTTTTTTTGGCCTAAAATAATAGAAAGGAAATAACCCGAAGGTCATTAAAAGGAAAATCTGTGGCCTTAATCGTAACATTAACAAAAAAATCCTTTATTAGATTGTGGTCATGACTTTAGTTCTTTTAGCCAGACTTTCTATAAAGTCTTTTTTTTAAATTCATGCCTGCATCAAAAGGCAGTTTCACCTTTTAATTTGCCCTTTGTGTGCTTCACGTCTGCCAGTGCCAGCGTGTGTCTTGTTCAGACAATAAACTTCATAAAATAAACTTTGGTACATTCACTGCTTGCCGTCAGAGCTATCTAAAGGCTTTGACACTTGAGTTGCAGTGTATCATCAAAGATTCGACTTCCAGACAAAGCCAAAGCACATTCCTCTGTCTTTATCGCTTCTTCTGTAGTCTGTGTCTTAGCGCTATCAAAGGCCACTGCCATGTTTTGACTGGAGTCTTCCCCTTTGAATCAGTTTGTGATTTTTAAACAACCAGTCAGCCTCCTGTCATCCAACATACGTCACTTTCTCCCTTCAGGACAAAAGAGCTGGCTTCGAATAGGTGGAATTAACTCAGTCGCGTTGGTCAAATGACAGGCAAAAGTTGCTCTTTTTTTTTTGTTTTTTTTCCCCTGATGGGACAAAGCAGGCTTTTAGTGTAGGTGTGACTTGTATGTGGATCTGTTGTAAGGCTATTCTCCGGTAAGCAGGAGTTAAGTTTGAATTGCTGCTGGATGAGTTTCTATTTTTATAGAAAGGGCACAGACTTCAGAAATGATGAATGACTGTGGCTTTAACTGGTGAAAAAGATTTGAACTTTCTTGGCAATGTTTTATTCCCTCAAGAATTGTCTGTGGAAGAAATTGATGATGCAGTTTTGAGATTTTCCTAAAAGATGGTTAGAAATGTTGATTTGCTGGCAGCTTCATCAGACGGTTCTTTGCTTGTTGCTTTGTTCCAAACAACTGTTGATCCTCCAGAATAGTCACATCAGTCAAAGCTAAAGAAAGATTAGATCAGCTGTTCTTGCCTCCGGTGAGATCATGAATATTGTTAAACCTTTTTTTCCCCCTAGTCATTTTTCTAGACGGTATTGCAACAATGGGATTTCCTTTTTAAGCATCTTGACATGTGACCGATTATGCCAGAGAGATAAATGTAGTGACGTTTGCAAAGGCCTCTGATCTGATTGTTACCTAAACAAGAGAAAGCTTTAAATAATATAAAATTAACGTAAAACTGTGACCTCACCCATATTGGTTGCCCGAGTCTGAAGTAAATCTAACCAAGCGGGAGCTCTGCGGTGTTTTTTTGTCTTTGTGTTGACTTTTTGACTGTTGCACGTTGGGCGGCCGTGCTTATTGGGGTTAAGGGACCTTAAATGAAAGCAGCTCGCTGGCTTTCATGTGGTGCACGGCTGTGGAAAACTCGCTGCCGATTAGGCCCACATTTTAGAAACCAAAAAAAGACTCCCAGTGTGACGCATCAGCTCCAGTAGAGCAGATGAGGAGAAATGGCAGCACTGGTGTGGCTGCACCGATGACTCAGCAATCTAATGCCAACGTCTGTCTCCACACCACCGGCTATGTGTGTACTTTTTGTTAGAGCTTATTTGTTTGTGGATATGTCTGCCTACGTGCTGCATGTGGGCATACAAAACTGATTCATGTAATTGTTACCCTCACACACTCACAGTCAGCATTGCTGCAAGTTTATACTCATTCATGAAGTGGAGCTCCTTTCTGATTGTTCATTTAGTCTACAGAATATTGGATAATTGTGGAAAATGTAAATCATGTTTGTAGAACCCAAGATGAAATCTCCATATGATCTCACAGTCTAAATAAAAGTCTCTAATTTATTAGGGCTTGGAACAGAGGAAAGCAGCAAATCCTAGCTTTTTGCAAAGCTAGACTTGCTGAATGTTTGCCTGACATATTACTGAAATGGTTAAAGCCCCTGAAAACTTGATGAAAAGATGATGAATCAGTTACAATTTGAAACTTTCAAATTAAATACAAGCAAACTTCTAAGACTTTCTAGTGTTTGAAT